ACCACCAACTTACACCATACACAAAAATAAACTCAAAATGGATAAAGGTCTTAAACGTAAGATGGGAAACCATAAAAATCTTGGAAGATCCATAGGCAGCAAAATATCAGACATATGTCATAGCAATATCTTTACCAATACAGTTCCTAGAGCAATGGAAACTAAGGAGAAAATAAACAAATGGGACTACATCAAAATAAAAAGCTTCTGCACAGCAAAGGAAACCATCAACAAAACAAGAAAGCCCACTGCGTGGGAAAACTTATTTGCCAATGTTACCTTTGATAAGGGTTTAATCTAATCTCCAAAATTTATAGGGAACTCATACAACTTAACAAAAAGAAGATAAACAATCCAATCAGAAAAATGGTCAAAGGACCTAAATAGACACTTTTCCAAAGAGGACATACAGAAGGCCCAGAGACATATGAAAACATGCTCAAAGTCACTAATCATCTGAGAGATGCAAATCAAAACAACAATGAGGTACCATCTCACACCTGTCAGAATGGCTAGCATCAACAACTTAACAAACAACAAGAGCTGGAGAGGATACAGAGAAAAAAGAACCCTCGGGCACTGCTGGTGGGAATGCAGGCTGGTGTAGCCACTGTGGCAAACAGTATGGCATTTCCTCAAAAAATTAAAAATGGAACTGCCATTTGACCCAGTGATCCCACTTCTAGGCTCTTCTCTCTTTTTTCAAATATGCTTCCATTGATTCTAGAGAGAGAATAAGGGAGAGGCAGAGAGAGAAAGAAACACTGATATGAGAGAGAAACATTCATGGGCTGCCTCCTGCACACTGCCTACTAGGGATCAAGCCTGAAACCTGGGCATGTGCCCCAACCCAGAATCAAACCAGCAACCCTTTGGTGCACAGGAGACCGCTCAACCAACCGAGCCACACCATCCAGGGCTGAGGAGAACTTTTTATACAGTTAAGCTTTGCTGTGGAAACAGAAGCAATGACAGTAGAAACCCTGGATCCTGCTTGGGGACAGATCATGGAGTTACTGCCTGGATTTTGAAAGCTGGATTGACTAAGTTTGACTGAGCAAGCACCCTCCCCACCACTTATTCCTTCAATAGTTCAAGATAGAAGGGAAAGCTGCAAGGCCTCTTGAGATTTGCATTTTGTGGCGGTCTTGAACATATGACACTGCAAAGCATTGGGGTGAAGATAAAAGAACTTACCCCCAAATATTTAGAGCTTTTTAATACCTCATAGTAAAAATATTGTTATTTTCTCCTTCTCTGTCTCTCGTTATATATGCAGATAGATAGATATAGATATATATATACCAGGTACATCTTTAAGTATATGTATATCTGTGTGTGTGTATTTCAAACCACTGGGAAGTATTAAGCTATTTACTTAATATAATATAAATATATAACATACTGTTAATAATTTAGTAACTATATTTTTATTTTGCATAGATAACTTAGAAAATAGTTTACTGGGTATCTTATTCCATTAGAAAGTGTGGTATGTGGGGGTAGGGAATTTGTATGTCTCTTTGAAGTCATGTCCTAGCCCCTACAACAGTGTCTGGCTCATCCTTGGCACTCATGAAGTGTTAGTTGAATGGCTGACTGAATGACTGAATGAGTTGACATGAGCTTGAAGTGGTTCTAAGTCATTTATATCAGTTACTACCAATTAACTTTCAATTTGTCTTACATATATTTTTCGAAAACATAGGATATGTACTCTGAAAAATATATGGCAGTTTAAGTTTTACAAATAATACATATGAAATGCTATATAATGTTAACTTTTGTTATTATAATTGAATAATTTAAAAAACTCACATGAAGTGATATTGAAATATGTTGTTATGACAGACCTTTTATCAAATATTTATTAAATTCCTTTAAAATGTATATAAATATCCAGGAGACTGTGCGGCAGAATTGTAATACTACCATTAAAACATTTTCTTCCCATTTATGTGTGTCTGTTCAATGTTAAAAATGTCTCAATAAAATTTCAGGCAATTGCCTCATTTCTCAAATAAGATGGCTAGTGGAAAGAGTATTGGACTGGGGGGAGTCAGCTGCCAATATTCTCAACCATTTTGCTGATTTTGTAAATTAATCTTTTCCTAGAGAGCAGTTTTCCTCATTCATAAAGAGGATAAAAGAAATGATCTCTCAAATCCTTTTCAGTTTTGAAATTTCGATTCTAAGTATCTTAGTGTTTGGCCTTTTGTCTACGAGCTTCATTAAACTCTCAATCACCAGGCAAAATGTGCAAACTCTTCCCCAGTAGAACGAGACGTACCTGCATTGCTGTCGGTACCTGTTAACTCCTGGGCAAGGGCTTCGTTCTCCGTTTGCCTCAGAACAGTCACAAACGCAGAAAACCAGTTTTCTTTCTGCACAATCCTTCTCAGTAGCTCTCTCACACCTGCCTCGTTCCCATTTTTTTCTGCAGCAGAAATCTGTTTTAAGAGAAAAGCAGAATTAAAAAAGGTCAAACATCCTCTGAATGAATTTAAAAAGGAACTACCTTTAGAAAAATTGAGCAATTAAGCATAAGTATAAATAAAGACCTATTTCCAACACTAAAACAGCAGGGCCACTTGTAGCAGTAAATATTTTACCTCAGTTATTCTGAATAAGAGGTGCAAAAGAAAGGGCCTTTAATCTCTAGCCATTTTACGTCTGTTTGCATCAATTTCTGTCTGTATTTCTCGGAGGACCTGATTCTTTTTAACTCATAGAATCTGCAAATGGGAAACAAAACATTTCTTATCCAACTCCTGTTTCTTGACTATCACCATTTATGATGTCCTTACTATCATCACATATTCTTGCCTACTTAATATTTGCAATATTTATTATTACCATAATATTTTTCTTAAATTGGTATTTATTTCATATTATCAGAACATTTTATTTCTATATCCCCCCCCCTTTTTTTGAAATAGGGAGCAGAATTATTTCTACATCTATTTGTTACAAACCTTAGCTTTCATTAAACTTCTTTTCAAGATTAATCTAAGCAAATCTTTCTAACTGTGGATCATTTATGAAACGATTATCACAGTGCATCTCCCCAGTTCGTAATATAGCACCAAACATTTGGAGAAAAGAGTAATACAAGCCACATTTAGACCAGAAAAACCATCAGACAGGACATCATCAGCTTGCTGTGCCCTTAGGCAAGCTAATTCATCTCTCCGGCCTCAGTTCCTGCATGTGTAAACTGAAGCATCTGAAAAGAAATGTCAGGCCTTCTCCATCCTTGTTTCACTAGGATTACCTGGGGAGCTTGGAATCACCTGATGTCTGGGATCTACTCCCCAACATTCTGATTTATTTTTGTCTATTCTGGGAAACTAGAAAAACAAAATTTCTTTTTTAATCCTCACCTGAGGATATTTTTTTCATTGCTTTTTAGAGAGAGTGGAAGAGAGAGAGAAAGACAGAGAGAAATATCAATGTGAGAGAAACACTGGATTGTTCGCCTCCTACATGCGCCCCGACCAGGGCCCAGGTTGAGGAGGAGCCTGCAACTGAGATACATGCCTTTGACCGGAATCAAACCCGGGACCCTTCAGTCCGCAGGCCAACACTCTATCTACTAAGCCAAATCAGCTAAAGCTAGGAAATTGTTTAAAAAGCTGGTTTGGCTCAGTGGATAGAGCATTGAACTGCAGACTGAAGGGTCCCAGGTTCGATTTCGGTCAAGGGCACATGCTTGGGTTGTGACATGCCCTGGAACCCTCCCACCGTCCCTCCCTGGCTGGCTGGTCCCCATCAGCCTCGGGACTGGGCGAGATGCCCCGATCGCCAGCCAGGCTGAGGGACCCCACCCGTGCACGAATTCGTGCACCGGGACTCTAGTGCTGTTATAAAGGCTTTGTATATATTAACCCAGCAACCCTAAAGAGTGTAACAATATTAACCCATTTTACAGATTTAAAAAATCCAAGGTGCAGAGAAGTCCAGTTACCTCCCCAGGGACACACAGCTAAGTAAATGACTGAGGTAGAAGTGGATCCCAGCAATTGACTTCAATGCTAGCTTCCTGTACTATAATTATAGGCAATAGTTGTCTCTAATTTTATGTTCATTTTCTGGCAAGAAGGTTTAAAATGCTTACTTGAATTTCATAAATTGTAGGTGATTTCAGTTCATCTCTCCCACAGCATTTTCTAAGTAGATTATTGCTTATTTCTTGCCTTTTTCTCTAACTTCATTAATCTCCTAATAAAAATTCTTTGTCTTCGAAGGTGTTTGTAATCTCATTATTATTATTAAATAATTTAATCACAAAGAATTTATCTAAAACCAAGTCAGGCACTATAATAAATACTTTGATTAAAAACCTAAGCATTTTATGTCCACTAAATTTTCTTTAACTGTTAATGAGTTGATTTTTACTGTAAAATTACATTTGTCCAACTTGTTTTGCCCTTACTGAGTTTAGGCATTTAAGGATTCTTATGCCATTATTTCCTATATGTATTTTTATCATTTGAATGTAGAGCTACATATAATACCTGTGCAATTTTGTCAGCTTCATCAAGAACCTGAGTTGTTGTTGTTTTTTTGCCCTGACCAGTTTGGCTCAGTGGCTAGAGCGTCTGCCTGTGGACTGAAGAGTCCCAGGTTCGATTCCAGTCAAGGACATGTACCTTGGTTGCGGGCACATCCCCAGTAGGGGGTGTGCAGGAGGCAGCTGATGGACGTTTCTCTCTCATGGATATTTCTAACTCTCTATCCCTCTCCCTTCCTCTCTGTAAAAAATCAATGAAATATATTTTTTTTAAAAAGACTCTGAGTTTTTAAGGAATATCCCCCCCCTTTTGGCTAGAAAAAAATCAATACTCGTTGAAGCAACCACCCATTTTTTAAAAAACTTAATCTGTTCTCCTAAAACCCAGTAAAGATATTAGATTCCAACAGATGATTGCTGAAATTCTTGGGAGGAAAATATTTAGCTTTGAAGCTGCAACAGGATTCCAATCTCCATACACTAGTCCCTCCTACCCATATATCACAGCTCCTGAAAATGGTCCTAGATTTAACTTTGTGTCCAGTGACTACCCAAACAAACTTACATAACTGATTTACTTATTCATCGATTTGGTTTAAATTTACAGACTGGCACAAAGGTGCCATGATAGGGAAAAGATTGGAGACTAACAAAGGTCTGTATTTTTATGGAGCTTATGTTGCAGTGTTGATCAGTGTTTATTCTTCCAACAAATAGTGAAAGAATGTCTAGCTTATACTAGATACTGTTGTGAATATTGGTGACTAAGCAATAAGTACAAGAGTCACTTTATGGATCATTATAATAGAACTAGAGGCCTGGTGCACTAATTCATGCATGGTGGGGTCCAGCCAGCCCGCCCTGATCCGGCCAATTGGAAGGTTGGCCGGCTGGCCCTGCTCCCAATCGGGCCGGTTGGCCGGCCACAGTGTGCACCATAGCCACCGGTTGTTCCAGTCGTTCTGGTTGCTTGGCTTTTATATATATGGATGATAGCTAACTGTAGGGAGTGCCCCTGTACTGATATGCTTCTGTTTTAGGATGCTAATTGGACATTTTGGCCCATTCACTGACTTAGACAGCAATGAACTCTGGAAAAGAAGGGGTCCCATAAACATTTCCACAATGTCTTAATATCAGTCTGAACAGCTCAAGAGAAGTAAACTAAAAGACCAAGTAAAATATGTCTACTGGAAAACAGGAAAAGAAATAAAAGAAAATATAATTTTTTAGAAGTTCTAACTACTTAGTTGAATACTACTTTATGTTGTTCAGAAATCAAATTTTGAATTCTTATGTTTATCATCCATCTATTCCCCAATGGCTGATATGATTCATCATATCATATGTTTGTATCTCTCATTCCAGACAACTCTTTGAAAATAAATTGATCAATCACTTAAATATTAACCAATCACTATTTATTAAGTACCAACCCTATACCTCATATTGGCTAGGTTCTGGGAGCTTAAAGATCAAAGTTATAGTTTCTTCTTCAAATCACACTTTAATCCAGGGACTTTAAGAAGCAGATCTCAATTTCAACATGGGAGATTTACCTAAATTCTCTAAATTCACAAGGAAATATAACCAAATGAATGATAAAAAAAAGTCATCATCATCATCATCATCATCATCAT